GAACGGCGACATCACCGCTGGAATTGGAGTTGAATAAAGCTTGAGGATTGGATACCATGCCTCGTTAGGCCGTTCCCGCGTTGCTTATGGGATCGCTTCAGAGCACATCCTGCAATTGAGCTTGGGCGTTTGGAGTTTGCAATAAGAGTCCAATGAAGTTTATGGGGCGAAGACACCTGGCGCTTGATGCTGGATGAAGCGATATAAGACTCCATTGTTGCTATACCGTCATCCGACCAACGCTCATGTGCCGCCATATCTCTGTCATGTCTTCACTTTCCTCAGCGCATTAATCGTACAACAGATCTGACACCACTCCGTCCATGCCGATAGCCGACTCTGATGAAACCCTGGAACGCCGTGGGATGTTACGAAGATTGGATACGACCACTCTCCCAAGCATAACTCCATCTGAGGCTATCTATCGATGGCGTTGAGTCCCGACCTCATTACAAAGTCATCGAACTAACGCAAACGTTCGTTAGCATCCATAGCCCAGGTGTTGCGGTATCATCTTACCGTGTACGGCTTTTACGTATTCCAAAGTCGGTGAGGATAACGGGGCGACCGCGATTCTCGTCCGTGTTTCCAAGCTCCACATCTGGTATTCGTGAGAAGCCAGGCTAGGCCAATGTTGAAGAGCAACCAACATACCGACTTCAGAGCGCGCGATCTGACGACGAGGCATGAATTTGCGCAAGAAGTATGCCAGGAGAGGGATGCAGGTTGCTAGTAGAGTTACAAAAGCTATGACTGCTTCAACCGACCAGGAAGACATGGTAAAGTTGGTATGATGGCAGTTTGTGATGGCCTTGAAAGAAGGTTGTGTTGGAGAAAGAGCGCAACCTCCATTTCGTCTTTTATCATATGCTCAAAAGCAGAATCTGTAATGGTGCTTTTGCAGGTTTTGTATGATTGGACAATATGGCTGCGCCTCCTGCCAGTCCGGCCTGACAGGGTAGGTCGTCTTTACAAAATCTCGCTATAACCGAATTGGGTCACTCGTGGTCATCACAAAGCCCAAGATTTTGTTGCGCCATGTGCTGGTGTTTGGTGGCGCCCGCAGGTTTTGCATAATTGGTCAGTTTCGCCATGGATTTCTGCCCCGTTTACAAGATCTTGCTGCAGCTCTGTGCAGCCAGATTTTGTATGATTGGCTAGGAAGTACGCGGCTGACTGAGGTGAAGGACCTCGGGAATCAAGGTCGTGTAGTTGGTGCGCATCAGACGTGGCGGACAGGCGCAGTATGCGCCAGGCACGGCATGGAAAGCAAGCTTGACCGGTCAGATATATAGGTATGCTCCAAAACCTTCAGCCTGGTCATCACCCTGCTTCTTCCCCTCTTTTCCTCAGCCTCACGCTCCGCTGCAGACGATGGACAACACTGTCAAGACTGACAGACTCGATGAAGGGATATGGAATCGCTATCGTACAACAATCGAGAGCCTATACTGGGAAACGTCACTCGATAAGATCGATGCGCACATGAAGACGCATCATGGTTTCATCGCCAGGTACTTCTATTGACGCATCACAATTTACTGAAACCTAACACCGCAAAGCAAATCACAGTACGAAAGACATTTCCGCAAATGGGAACTACGGAAGAATCTCACTACTGCCGAATGGGCAGCCACCATCCGATATTTGACGAAGAACTCTATTGAGCTTGAACAAGTCGAAGTGTTGTTCAAAGGACGCGAGATCCCTCAAAACAGAGTTTTGCAGGAGATAGCCCGGCGCAGCTCGCTTACTAAGACCCTATACGAAGGTATGTCATGTTCGGATCATCTAGATGTTTAGTGCTCATCATACCCAGGTTCCCATAGGCTTCCCAAGGATATCACCGTACGACCACGGTCACGCGCACCGGCCATTGACCCCGCGAACGGTCTTCAAATCATACCGAATCCTTCCGCGAGTTCGTCCTCCTCTTCTATGCAAGTCGAAACCGACTTTGGCCTGGCCATGATAACCTCACCTTCTGTCTACGGCCGCAGCTTGAATGGACCCACCCTCATTTCCGAGTATAGCTTGCCATTCTCCTGGACGCATTCTATCGATTTCAACTTTATCTCACGGAGCCTCATTTCTACCCAGCAGTTGGTGAAGTGGACGAAACCGTCCAAGATGCGGCTCGATGCGATCTTCCATTCAAAACATCAGCCGCTCGTGGATACAACATGTGGAAGCCACAGTACAATACTTCCCCTGTACGCGATCACGTCACTCGCTAACAACGTCTCGTCGGGCGGTCGTACGACTTCGAATGACTCGTACGCACTGTTGAAGGCGCTCCCTCTGAGAGACGTTTCACAAAGCTTGAAGGCCCTACCGGCCCCGGTTCTAGATGCTCTCAAAGAAAGAGTGTTTGCGACTGCTGTCAGATTTGGGGATGCAGATCTTGTTTTAACCATGCTAGAGCTGGACATGGACCCCCGCGAGCAGATCATGATGGAGTGGCCATCTGAGTCGAAACCAACCTTCCCACTTCAGTTTGCCGTAGCTGCAGGCCATTTTGAGGTCGCGAAAACTCTCAGTTTGCACTTGTGTCGAGAGGCAACTCATGTACAACTTGATGAGCTGTTTGACCATGTTGTCGAAGGAGATAAATCCAGCGACCGCTTCACAAAGGACGTCAGATTCAGTGAAACAGAAAGAGCAGAGCTTGCGTGTATCGCTCTTCGCGCTGGGGCTAGGCCACATCGGAAATACCTAAAGACGTGTGGCGTTAATGTTTCCGTGGCATCTCTTAAGCAGCTGATGGCCGCTTCAACGGCAGGGATCCTCGCATGGCTGGAAGCAGGCCTGCTTGAACACTACTTCACGCAGGATATTTACGAGCAGCAAATAGAAGTCCAAATATCCTTGGCTAGGGACGTTCTACAATTTGTTCTGTACAGCGGCCAGCACTATCTACCGAAGAGCGACCCTAGACTGAAAACAGCAATCTTGGGCGCACTCAACGCCGCTCTCCTTCCGTACCACGAAAGGGCTGTAGAGATGCTTCTGGAAGCTCTCAGTCTTCTGGGATATCGCCTTGACGATGGGGACGCTTACATGGGCGATCCCGGCGCGCTCGGCTCCATGGAAAGATCAACCCTGGAGGCGTTCGATAACGCAGACTGGAATCTAGCAGCGTCTTTGATGATAACAAAAAGGCCTATGGCAAACTCAGACAAAGCTCATTCAGTCGAGGAGCAAAATGCAGAGCTTCAAGATGCCATTGAACAGGGTGACCTAAGGCTCGCGTACCACAGGTACAAGATGCTGAGCGACAAGCGGCTCATATTTAACTTTGCATCACGCATTGTCGAACTTGCAATCAGCCTCCGCAACTCTAGCTTTGCCATTACCATCGTCGAATATATGGAGGACCAGTTGGGAGTGGGCTTAGTAGGCCTGTTGATTCTATTGAAACATGGCCAGATCACGACAATCAGTACCCTCCTAACACGATATCCGTTTTGGGAATCTGCATTAGACGCTTCAAGCGGTCTCTACGATGTTGGTGCCCTGGAGACATCGTTCTTCCACGGTCTGGCAGCGCCGTTCATCGGTGCTGGAGAGGGCGAAGGTGCTATCTCGTGCACGAACAAAGTTCAACTTGGCTGCCGGACTGTTGCTTACCATGCCATGGCAATCAACGACTTCAAGCTTTGTAAATGGCTGTTACAGATCGGCATGGATCCTGATGAATTCTTTGTCGAGCATGACCTTGAAATCTCGATCACGAAGACACCAAGATTACACTGCTCTTTTCCTGGAGGCATAGGCACGCTGAAATTATATGATGGCCACATGATACCTTCTCTCCTCGCCGTCGCCGCCAAGAATAGCGACGTAGATTGGATGAAGTTTCTTGTGACTGAAGGTGTAGCTGTCGTTGACTCGGTGGCGTTATTGCGGGCAATCAAGCTGAGGGCAACCATCGCTACAATACATTTTCTTCTTGACGCAGCCAAGCCAAGAATCTCTTCTGCTGAACGAAACTATGGTGTTGCAGCACTTCGTCAAGCAATCTCGTACCGCGACATCACCAGAATTGACGTTTTGTGCGGTGTTGTAAATGTCGATGGTATCGAGCCCTTCGACGAAGAGTTTGAGGGAAATGAATCTGCGATCAGCCCTCTAGGCGAAGCGATAATCGCGGACGACTCCGAGATGGTACGGTTATTATTGAAGCATCGTGCCAGTCCAAACGCATACGTATCCTTCGATGGCTTGAAGATGTTGAAGCACATCAAGAGCCACCTAAAGCGAGTAACTCCCTTACTGGCCGCTATCGACGTACAAAGTCTCCCCCTGGTGAAGATCTTGGTGGAGCACGGAGCAGAGCTGCAGTACACGCGCAACATGGGCATCAGCCGCACACCTTTGCAAAGAGCCGCCGAGACGGGTTGCTTTGACATCGTGGAGTATCTCGTCGGCCAGGGTGCGATTGTCGATACGATTCCAGTATACTCTAGCGGCACCGCCTTGCAACTAGCTGCTATGAACGGGTTCTGTGGCGTTGCAGCATTCCTGCTCGAGCACGGGGCCGATCCATCCTACCCGCCGGCCAAAGGCCACGGCCGAACTGCCTTCGAAGCAGCAGCAGAGTGGGGTCATGTAGATACGATGTCGTTGTTGATGCAGTGGAATGTCAACCTCGATGCGCAATTTGGAGAGCCTCCCGAAAGTCAGTACGAGCGGGCTCGGCGGTTTGCGGAAAAGAACGGTTTCATGGCGTCAAAGCGATTCGTTGAACATCTCTATGAGCAAAGGACGAGAGATGAAATTTGGCCTGCAGGTTTGGCTTTGGATTCGATGTGATGGATCTGCTGATAATGCTGAGAACTGCGGATATTCCTGGGACGAGTCTAAGGTTAGTCCAAATAGAGTTCGCCACTCATACCTTACCCAGGTTTACAAGTTGAGTATGCTTACTAACTCGAGCGTCGGGTATGGACTTGGTGATGGCTGGTGGACCCAAACTATGACGTCTCATTAAGATGTAGCTATAAGCTCAGCTCACTAGCATAGCTACCACCTCGTTCTCTCGACGTCTTTTCACTTAAATCCTCCATGTGGACAAGTTCGACCTCCTCGTCGTTTTCCTCGTGCCGGACTGCAAAGGTCCTGGTGTATGTAATCGTGTTGGGTTCAGCGGCCAGGCCTTCTTTCCCACCTCTGTCACTTCTCAACGTGTCTAAGTTCTGAGTTGTACCACGACTTCTTCTACTGCCGTTTCCGTTCGCGCTGCTTCGCTGGGTGCTTCCTTGTATCGAGCTGATGACCGAAGGGATTGCGCGGATGAAGATCAGGCGGAGAGTCGGGATGCAGGCGCAGATTACTCCGACGTGGAGCTCGTACATGGACCACAAGACGACTTTCGCTTGCTTCCATGTATAGTTGTTGTCCCCGTCGAAGAAAAAGAGCGATTTCAGGCGGAGGATGGATACTACTGTGACACTGCGGAAACGTAAGCTTGGGGCTAGATGATGTAATGTGGGCTGGAAGGGCACTGACAAGGTACCAAGAGAGAACATCAATGCCACGCCGAACTTCTTCACCCATGTCATCTGGAGATGATAGACCTCATATAGAGGAATAGCTATCATCCAGAGGTCCAACACAATGCCTATAATGGCATGCATCCATACTACCGCATCCATGTTCAGACATTTTGTTGGTCTCTCCATGTCCCATCCCGTCCAGAAATCACTGACCTACATTACCAAGGACGAAGTTAGCTGGTGTATCGTGCACCTCGTGAGTGAGCTTGACGTACCGGTAAACATGGCATCGCGGCGGGAATGAAAATGGAAAAGGTCCATAATCCAATAAAGATGATAGTCCCCCACAAAAGCTGTACTGTTCGCCGTCTGAGAAATATCCGTAGGAAGAAGGAAAGGAGCGTAATCTTGACCAAGGCAGCCTGGAGGAGGTATAGTAGAGTGACGACGTATAGCCATCGTATAAAGTTGTCGATGTGGTCAAATGGAACGTTCCAAATGTCGATACCAATGCCATTCGGAAGCATACATCTGTCGACAATAACGACAGAGGGTACGGCTAGAACCACCGTAGCTAGCACGAGGAAGTCGTCCCAGTTGAGCCCATTGACGTGGAAAAACATGTGGTAACTAAAGCGTAAGATGATGCAGGAGCCTGTCACTACGGCCAATACGATGTTTGCCACGCGTAAATGGGTAATTTCCGAGCGAACAGGCACGTCGCAGAGAGCTGAAGTTACGTTCTTTGTGGCTGGGAGAGTGTTGTAAGCAAATGTTCAGTGTATGGTGGCATATTGAACTTACTCAGACTCTCTCTTATTGTACACGTCGAAATTACGCATTTTTCCGCTGCACTCTGAAGCTTAGCGTTGGCACATACGCATTGCTTATCCGAAAGCTGGCAGGGTGATTCAACTACAGCTGTCGCCAGGCACAATTGCTACAACCATTAGCAACATATCATTTGACCCATGTTGGCTGTTACATACCGCGCAGCTTGGAAGCGAGCCGATCGCCTTGAGCGCGGCGGCGTCCTGTGCCACCGCGATCGAGGCCCATGCCGCGAGGACCAGTAGTAGGTACAGCGGCCATCTCATGTCTCGTCTCGTCCGGCGACACACAGTATCCAAGTCGAAGTCGTCTGGCAAGAGGTGGGAACAAAGAAGGAATCAACGTTCCAGCAAAGGGGCCTTCCCGCTTGCAAGGCCGCGATTTGTATATATGCTACAAAGGCTTGGTATGGCTGATCCGATCCGCCTCGTGGCTTCCTGCAGCGTTGCGTGCTAACAAAGTTTAAATGTGCGGTACCCTTGAGTCTCCCAACCAGAGGAGCCGCACCCCTCAACGTCGTCCAACGGTTCCGTGTTCAGCTGGACTGCCACCTGCGCAGCCCATTCCGAACGTTTCTTGACAGGAGTAGTCTTGTAGCTGCATGTGTGCTGTACAGAATGCTGAACGCATCGAAGGATGTTGTGCTGAAGTCGCTAACATCTGCGCCCAAAGATTTTGGACACATGGGCTAGGCCGGTACCCTACATGGAACTGGCTTGTTAAACTTCGACGGTCCAGTCCAAACGTCACAGACCAGCCGAGGCAGTGCTAGACCCAAGGGGATGTCGGGAGGTGAACTAACGATGTCGCGCAGTTTATGCGATCATGCGCAATTCGTTTCTATTTCCACCCTAGAACAGCCAGATCGAGATGGTGAGGTAGAAGTCTCGCGTGCTTCTAACCGTTTCAAGGTGTCATCGCCCTCCATTTGATATCCGTAGTAACCGTCTCAGTCCTTTCGAAACGTGCTCTCCACATGTGGTGTGACCCGGGTTATGCTGATTTGGGTGGCGCGTTCTTGTGGTGGCCGTCTCCGCGCGGAGTAAGCCCCGAACGGTGGTTCCTGCCGCTTCGCTAGCGCGCTACATGGTTGGGGAGTCCGCGCACGTCAACGCCTCGCGCTTCCACCACAGCTACTCTATATCGGTACCCGTTTGACATCTGTCCAATCGCGAAACAGCTCTAGTAGGGATCTTGTACAAACCGAGACGAGAGGTGGCAAGGAAACTCTATACGCGATCAACAGCCCCAATGCGGTTTCTCATGCCGAGGCTTGCCAGATACTTTGGTCATTGGAGGGCGAGTATAAGAAGAAGATTACGACATCGAATCCAAAGCAGAGGAAACGAATATTGAAGGAGCTCTCGTTGTTACGTTGATTATGTCCACGAGTGTGTGGAGCAATTCGACTTCGGAGTCACCGACTCGATTGCTTTTACCCCCATCAAATGTACACCATCGTCAGATCAGACCACATCGTTGTCCATGCAGGAACGGCACTACGGCTGCTTTAGTAGCCGTCAGACACCCGCTCGTAGCATGTTCATGGAGTCTTCCGCCCCAGTACATTGACACCATTCCATGAATTCGTCCAAGCTAGGGACGACCTGTCAGGTACGCATGAATCGCGTGAAGTATGCGGCCAAACGATCCACTATAGCCTACCGGATCTATACGATCCTTTGAAAGAATGGGTTCCCAGTCGAAGAGGCCGCTCGTTGTATGCTAACATTGCACGTAATCTTGTGGCGTATAAACTAGACTGTAGACTGAGAGTTAGTTCTGCTGGGCGCGGACGAGCCCAACTGTCCTCCGAGGAGCCTCAAACTGTATCAAGGGTCTGGCCGAGTTAGTACTTTGACGCAATGCAGGCGTACCCGATGCCTCACGTCCCGTACACGTGGAGCCGAATGTGAGGGCCCGTCGTTAGGTAGGCTTGTGCTTAGCTTGCTTCTAACAGTGGTACAGCACGGCGCGGCAGGGCGCGATTGCCATTGTACAACTCGATACCATGGCGAAAAGGGATCGAAACTTTCATGGAACACTGCTGTCCTAAGCCAGGTTCACGGATATGCTAATGCAGGCGATATGTCGACATCTCCATCTTTTTATAGCAAACCAATAAATATAGTAAGTTTAGGATATTGGCGAGTCCTGGTATTCCTGAAGGATGTAGAGCAACAAGCTCTACTAATGCGATAACGACTAAACTTCGCAAACAATGTGATCGTGAGGCGGTGTGCTTCTACTTGGCCGTTGATGGATTGGCAATATATTCGATTGTTGTTGCACGAAAAAACTCGGGAAATCAGTGGTGGGTTAGAAAGAGAAACACTGGGAGCATTATATGCGTTAACTGGAGATATCGAAGACGCAGAAGATGGCAAAAGCTGGAGACACTGTTTGGGGCTAGTTGGACGTCGCAGATACTCGCATCTTGTACAGCCTTACTTGTCACGCATTTCTTAACAGCCATCCGCTACTGCCTGCCCTAAGGTACAAAAAAAGGGCAAAAAAAAGCTGGAGATGCTTCTGCTCGAACCTGGTTCGTGACAGACTGACCAGCAAAAACATACAACAGCGAGGACCTAGGAACACGAACCAGTCCTGACCAGTGCGCAAGCGGGCAAAGACTGAAGGCCACATGGAGCGGACACCGGGTCCAACAAGTAACTCCCAGCTCTTCCAGGTATGCGATGCCACTACTTGATGGCTCTGTCCATCAGTTCAAATTGAAAGCCAGGTAAATATTCAAGAAAGATATGAATGTTCAAGCAACTGAACTACCAAAGGGCATATGTTGGAAGACAAAAAATGGGCAGTGTTGAACCTGGAAGAACCCCTTGGTCGCGCGTCGGCCAATGAGAGCGGGTATGACGTTTAGCGCGGGAGCTTGGCTGTGGTTCCCTTGCAACGTCTCGTCGCAAGCCGACATTGCGCAGCACCAACCGTACCCGCGAGCTCTATCACAACCAGCTGCATCTTCATCTCGTCCCATCCGCCTCCGCCCCAATCCGTTGCGCCCAGTCGTCAAAGTGCGGTTCCCACACCTCGCCGGTCAATCGTCCGCCATGGATTTCTCAGACATCTTGTGAGTAGAGCTCGAGCTGTGCGAAGCTGTCCCGAAGCTAGGCAGCAGCTTTCCGCAGAGCCATTGGGACTTGGGAGTGTCGAGGATCAAAGCTAACTGGGCCTGTAGTCGCATGGTGAATTTCGCCGTTGCCGTATTCGTGGTCCTCGGTGGTATCGCGAAGTTGTTCCCCTTCAACGACTTGTGAGTGTACCCGGCGCCTCCATCGGCAATCCAATCCCGTCGCATCGCCTCTCCCCGTCGTACAACCTTCGGATGGCGTACTTTATCTGGCGAGCACATAATGGCAGGCGCGTGTGGATGTGGAGAAGAGTGCAAGCTGTCAGTCGAAGGTCACTCGCTAGCCTGGTCCATGTCCGTCTGGGCCTGCGCTGGGCTTGAATACCATACACGCGAATGTGCGCATCCGTGACGACGCACAAGCATCGTACGGACTGAGATTGCACCACCAGTCATGCCACCCGAAGATCGCGAGCGAAGCACACAACCACATCAAATGGCCTAGGAAAGCGCTGACAGTCTGCGCAGCTCTCACATCATCCTCGGTGTATACCTGATCATATTCGGTCTCGGTAAGATCGAGCGTCCTCTCGCTGCCACATGCCGCTGACAAGCAACAGGAACTGCCCTCCTCGAGTTCCAGATTCCCCAGCAAGTGGCACGCTATGCCTCCTTCATGTTCTCTTTCCTCGGCCGCGGCATCTTCTACATCTTCATCGGCTCCGTCATTGTCGGTGAGCGCTGGTTCCGCATTGTGCCAGGCACTATCGTCGGCATAATCGGTGTGGGCTACGCCGCTCTGGAGTTCATTCCTTCCATTGAGCCGCCAGCGAACATGCGGTACGACTCCAATACACTTTGAAAACGTGTCTTTCATGTTACTGACGATATTGCAGTGATGCTGACGCTGGCTGGGGCGCTGAGCAAGTCTAAGTCCGCAGCTCGTGGACAAGAGGACGGCGGTCGAAGAGTCCTCATTCGTAGATCGCTCGCCCTGTCTAGGCTCGGTAGAAACCTCGTCGCGCGCTTATCATGTATTAAACCAAGTATTACATGTTATGGACATGTCTGGCGTAGAAATGGTCTGCGGACCCTGACGGAAAGGGTTGGTTCTGTGCATTGTGTTGGATTTTCAAGGTTGGCTCGATCATACCCAGGTTTTGGTTACATGGGTTGGGGAGGAGCTTTTCAGTCGGTGTATGATAGGTTATCTGATCTAAACGAGGCTGTAGTCGTCACACGTGTTCGCTTGTCTGTCTAGTGTCCGCAGTGCATGAAGCGAAGAGGCTACTAAGGCTTGCATTTCTACTAGTGTATCATGATGGGGCTCATTGCATTCCATAATAGGTCTTCAAATCTAGTATGTTGTAGTTGTATAGTTACAACAATGATAACGCCGTTCTGGACGAGTTGTTTCGCCCCCCTTCGATTGGTGCAAGGCTGCGTGAGTGGCGTGCGGAGAGCAACCATTACAAATCGCTAGTGGTAGGCGAGACGGATCTGATCCGCCGACAGCTGGTCTATGGCGAGGCTCAAGTGGAGTCCAAGACTGATAGAGCCGATTTTTCCTTTTTCTTGCCGCCGAGCCCATGTATCGGAGATAAGGGCATCCGACTTGCATTTGAATGCATGTACCTGAGGGTTGGTTGGCTCTGCATCCAGAGATATGCAGGTGCGACGCGCGAGACGAATGCTCTTTCGCCGTTCCTGAGCTTGTCTTATGGCTATGGCCGCCGTGGACGTGCTCTCAGGGTTGTCGCGCTAATCCTCGGCTTAGAATAGCAAAGTCTTGATTGGCCACCGCCGCCCATTCACCGCCTAAGAATTACAGCTTGTACCGCACCAGCACCGCCAGGCCAGTAGGCAACTTGCGCAGAATTATGACGACGGGGATCCCGAGCGCACCTGATATCATCCCTT